AAATTACAGTTTTAAATGTTCTGCCTCGGTGCTTGTTTATTTCTTTAAAGACTCCAAGTTTATTTATTTGGCTCTTCTTTGCTTATGCTTTATATCACCTTGCAAATCTTTCGTATTACCTTCTTTTGTTGGATTATCTTCATTATTCTTTATTTCCCTTGTCTTTATATGATGTCTGTACTCTCTTGTATTCCTCTTAATTAACTTTTCTGAAATTGTTAAAAGAGTAGGCAGTTAGACACTCACTTCTCACTACTTGTCTTCGCTGGATATCTCATCCTTTTCTTACCTCTGATGTGTGGATACTCTGGGTGTTGGGGAAAACATGAGTGGTTCTAAATGGTGTCTTTAGCAGAAGATTCTAAGCATCTTTATCTTAAGACCTTCCCAGCATGAAATGGTGAATGCTATGTTTTGCAAGGTGCAATGTTTTACACAGAATAGAAGAAACCCCAATGACATCCCCCAAAATAAACTCCTTCAGTGTAGGAACAAATTTCACATTTGTAAGTTCACACTTCTACTGATCACACCCTCACAATTTACTATGCAATATAAAGTTTTACTGTTATGGCAGTGGGACCTAACTAGAGAGAGTGAGTGAGGTTGTATAGAAACAAATTTATACAATCCCTTTAGGAAATGGGATCCTTTTGTCCGGGCTTCAGATGTCATCTCACCGTTAATATTATATTGGTTTATGTCATGAAATCAGTTTCTAAGTTTGCTAAAATTCAGCAAACCAGATTGATATTTTCCACACATATAACTCTGGGAATCTCAGGGTGATCTGCCCTGTTTGTACAGGTGTTGGAAAATGATCTCTAGACCAATAACACATCAGATTGTCTCTTCTTATCCAGCACTTGTCACTACTTGAATGTAAACTCCTGAAAAAAATTCTCAGGAACCAGAGGAGACAAAATGGAATTCTTCAATCTCAGTTTGACTGACTTCTCAACCTCAGGTGGAGGTAGCTACCTTTCCCACCTCATATGGGACATCAGGCCACCCACGAGGCAAGGAAGGAAAGGCGCTAAACAGCAGGGCAGGTCTAGTGGGGCAGCCCTTACTGTGTCTGATGGGGAGGCACACTGCCAGGGAGAGCCTGTGCTATATCCTCAGAAGACTGTTCTGTTATTGTGTCTCATCTTTGTACAAAGTGGTTCTAAATGGTGTCTTTTAGACATTATGTCTCATCTTTGTACTGATGGGAAAAGACACATCTGCCAAAAGCAGAGGAGCTGAGTGGGTTCAGCTCTGCTTTCTCCTCACACCCAACTTAGTTTGATTTTTTTGTTCTGAAAAGAACAGAAATGTAGTCAACTTCAGTCAAAGATAGCGTTTCATTTCATGAGTGGCATCTCATTCATAAAATCTTGAAACAGGAATCACAATAGGCCTGGTCCTTGTGGACCCTGAAGGTGGAGAGGGTTTCCAGGTCCAAGGCAGCTCTTGGAACTTCACCCCTGGGTTTTGGATTCTTCACATATACATATGCAAGTACAGCCATATTATTCACATCTGCCACTTGGGCCTTCTACCAAATGATGTTCTCTTTGTTCTTAATTTTTGACTCTTCATTACTCGATGTGGTGTTTGTAGTGACTGTGATGTTTCCTTTTTTCGTTCAAGTATAGTTAATATGCAATATTACATTGGTTTCAAATATACAACATAGTGATTCAACACTTTGCTTACATTATTAAATGTTCACCCCAATGAACTGTCAACATTATTAAATGTTCACCCCAATAGTTACTATCTGTCAACATACAAAGATATTATGCAAAGATAGTATTACTCACTGTATTTCTGTACTCTCATCCCTGTGGCTAATTTATATTATGATTGAGATTTTGTGCCTCTTTATCCTCTTCACTTATTTCACTCACTTACCCTAACCCTTCCCCCAGGGTAACCACCAGTCTCTTCTCTGTGACTATGAGGCTATTTCTGTTTTCTTATTTTGTTTTGTTTAGTATTTTTAGACTTCACATATAAGTAAAATCATATGGTATTTGTCCTCCTGGCAACTTCCTGCCATCTTAAGAAAAAATAAAAGCCAACCTAACCCCAATGGTGGGGCTGTTTCGGGTCCAGCCAGCCTGCTCTCTCGGCTCCAGAGTGTACTTTTCCCTGTAACCCAAAGAATTCCTCCCTGCTTTTTTTGCTATCTGGTCTCTTAACTGAATTCTTTCCTTTGAGAAGACAGAATTGTTCCACCTGTAACATGATTTTTTTTTTCCTGTCTTGTCAGGTCATTGTTTAGTAACCATGTTTGGTTCAAATTTGATGCCCAATGAAAATTTTTGATTGAAAAATGTAATTACTTTTTCTTTACTGAACTACATTTTATTTTATTGTCCTTGGAATTAATAATTGTCTTTTCTCAGTTGCATAGTTGTCTGGCCATTTTTTAAAGAAGCAGAGCATGGAGTTTGATTTTTATTAAATGTACATCACAGTGGTTCAACAGTCCCTGGCCCCTGCCCATTCCCCTCCCCCTTGGTAACCACTAGTCCCTTCTCAGTGTCTATGAGTCTACTGCTGTTTTGTTCCTTCTGTTTTGCTTTGTTTTTATATTCCACAAATAAGTGAAATCATATGATACTTGTCTTTCTCAGCCTGGCTTATTTCACTGAGCATAATATCCTCCAGCTCCATCCATGTTGTAAGTGTCTGGCTGCTTCTTTTAAAGTCATAGTCTTGCCAATGGGTTTCAGTCCCTGGCAAGTTCGCTATGGATTCAATGTGACCAAAGAAGTGACAGTAGAATGTTCTTGGGTTGAAAGGGTTATACTCAACTTTATTCCCACGGTGGCAGGTCAGTCACCAAAATCCCATTCACTAAGAGTGAGTCTGCATGCAGCAAGCCAGTCTCTGCCTCTGGGCCTCTCTGCCCACACAGCCGTCCTCTGGGCCCCTCTGTCCTCATGGCCATCCTCTGGGCCCCTCTGTCCTCACAGCTGTCCTCTGGGCCTCTGTCCTTGCACTGCCACCACTCCAGCCTCTGCTCTGCTTGCCTGCAGCCTTGCAGGCGTGCCACCCTGTCACCCAGAGCACTGGGCAGGGCTCTCTCTAGAGTCAATAATGATGTATCACTCACACATGTGTAGTGAGCCAGCCAACCAGGGCCAGGTGAGAATCCTGGCCACAGGAACTTTCATTTTATCCAGTCACTAATCTCATTCAGGAGGGCCCTAACTTCATGACCCAATTAACTCCCAAGGCCCTGCCTCCAAATGCCATCACACTGGGGATTATATTTCAACATATGGATTTGGGAGGAGGGGGTATATTCAGTCTACATCAACATACAGGTAAATTTAAAGCCAGGGCCTGGATGAGATCACATGGTATGTGCAATTAGAAAGACTGGTGATCTAGGACTGGCTCCTGATGCAGTATACATGATGATGCATTTAGAGGTGGAACCAGCAAAGGAGACCATGAAAAGGAGGAGCCAGGAACTAGAGGAAATCAAGGAGAATGTGGCGCTACAGAAGCTGAGAGAGGGGCATTCATTTGACCAACAAGATGAATGCTGCTGAGAGGCTGAATTGAATACAAAAAAATATCCACTGGATTTGATAACATGGAGATCACTGGAGACCTTGACAAGAGCAGGCTCAGAGGAGTGGCAGGATGGAAAACTAGATTAGAATAGGTGGAGAGAAAGAGCTGATAACCTGTAGATAGATGGTGTAGTCGAGTTTTGATGTGAAAGAGAAAGGACAGCTAAAAGAGGATGTAGGGGATCAAGGGATTTTCTTGTTACTTTGTTTTTTGAAGAAGAGAAACAAACATTTACATATTAACGGACTAATCCAGTAAAGGAGGAGAGATTCATGGTGTAGAAGAGAGATGAAGCCCTTGAGAAGGTAAAAGGTTGTAGGATCCAGGGATGAGGGGAGGGGTTTGTCTTTAATGAGTAGACAACTTAGAATAGTAACAGAAGGGAAGAGAGAGGCCAGAGTGCTTGAGGGAAGTTTATAGATCTGCTGGTGGGACAAATTCCCCTCTGAAGGATAGTTTTCTCACTGGGGTGTGAGGTGAACTCATCAGCTGAGAAAGGGACCCTATATGGGAGATAATAAGGAGGGGAAGGTTTGAAGAGAGAAGGGAGAATATAAAACGTCTCTGAGGGTGGAAAATTTACTAGGGAAACCTGATGGAGATTTGTGGTCACTAGTTTAAAATAAAATGGGTCGTCTGCCCTCTTTCGCCCTTCTCCTCTTCGTTTCTTCTTTGCTATTTGAGGCCTGGGAGGTAGGGGGCTAGGAAGGATGACGACCTAGGGAAGCATCAGGGCTGAGTAGCAGCAGCCAATAAGGGTAAGGAGACTGGGTACAGCAAGAGGATTGGGAGCAGGGGGGCGGGGGTTATGTGTTAAAAACGATTTTAGCAAAATAATATTAATACTGTAATAGACATGTTAGTACATTGTAGAATGCAAAGAGAATTTTTATATTACAGGATCTTGTTATCCAAGGCATTGCAGAGGCCAGTCCTTCAAGCTGTTTTGCTAACAAGGGAAATGAAGTTAAGTGACTTCCCCAAAGTCATAGAACATCTTGATGGCATAACTGAGACTAGGTTCCTGGGATTCAGATTCTCAGGCCATTACTCTTTCTGTAACAAAATAGTGATGCTTAAATACTTGACATGCTTGTCATAAAAAAGAAAGGAGATTATCAGAATGAAAACATTGATTAGGAAGGAATAATCTAATGGCATTTTATTTCTTATAAATTCCTCTTTCTTCAATTTCAACTATCAGGAAAAATTGTGGTTATTCATTGATTTCTATTCTAAAAAAGTAGGTTTAAATATGGATAAGCAAGCTATAGTAGATAAGGAATTTTTCTGAGTATATAAAGGAAAGTGTGACCTACCCAGAAGATCTTGCTTCTTAAGAACAAACTGCTGAGTTACTGCTCTTCCCAAAGAAAATCATCATTGAATGGGAGTAGATTATTGGCACAGAACACGCAATGTAGAAATTAGAACCCTTTATTATAAACACTTCCAGAATATAAACTGATTTTGTATCAAGACTCTTTGAAACTTTTAAACTACATGTAACCCAAGCTTATTATTTTAAGTACTTCACTTTTCACTTTGCAACCTAGAAAATACACTGCAAGTTAGATCTAACAGGAAAAACAAATCTAAATTGCTTCATAGAAAAACCAATGAATATAAAAATATCCTACCCAAAACTAAAACAAACCCAATCAAGAAGTATTCTACAAAGCTTATTAATAATCCAATTTAAGATAAATGACCTCCCAAGGGAAGATACATCAAAGCAATTTGATGAATAAAAGCAGAGCCACTCTCATGAAAGAAAATTACATTGCATATAAGAAAAATGTAATAATGCTTTTAGAAAATGAGAATTTCCATGTTAGAGAGCCGGTATACTAAATACTTTGTCACTTGGCCTTTATTAGAAGTTAAAGTACTACTCACATGAGAAAAGTGGTATGAACATGAACATTGTTACGACCAAATCTCAACTGTTTTTTCAATTTAACCTCAGGAGAACCAACTCAAGACCATCAAAATCCAAGGATAGACTGGTCCCAGAGCATTTCCTCCTCTGTCATTTCTTTGACTTGTTCCTTCTTCTCTTTTCTACGCCTATGCTCCCCTTTCTTAGAGGCTACATCTCTGCTTTTCTTCTTCCGATTCTTAAGCTTTTCTGTACTGACCCTAACTGTTTCTGTCTCTTTTTTGTTGCTCTGGATGCTCTTATGTTTGTCTAAATCTATTTTCTCACAACCTTTTTTCCCCTTATGCTCAGGCCTCTCCTCTGGTTTTCCTCTGCCTTCCTCAGGGTGCCGTTTTCTCATCTGATGTATCTGCTTATGACTGGCTTGTTGGGCACTGATACTTTTTTTTGAGGAGAGGTGCTTATAAACTCCAGATTCTACACTGTATGAGTTACCATTATACTCTTGCTGACTAAGGTTCAGGGGTCCTGGTTTTTCTGAGAAACAGTCCCTGGTCAATTGATAGTAGCTCTGGGACTCTGGTCCCAGCATGCTGTTATGAGCTGGTAGCCACTGAGGTAACAGGTTTCCCACTGTTTGTGAAATAGTACATGATCTTGGATAGGTCTGGACACTTCCAGATGGGAGTCTCTGATCAAACTTTATATATCTGGGTCTGGAATCAACCTCTTCTTTGTACCCAAAGGTTTCCACACAGTCTTCTTTCATCTTTCTGAAGCAAGTCTTTGGCTCTAAGCCTCTGGCTTTCTGTACTTTGATATAATCTTCCAGTTCATCTTGAAAAGAGTCATATGTCTTTGAATGCTTCATTAGGTTGACAAGGGATCCTCTGTAGAGAAGATGGGAGAAAACCTTACTCGATTATTTTATTTCGAATATTTCCTTTGCTCTTGAAGAGAGCTTCAATACACAAAACAAAGCCCAAACAAATTAAAACCTAATTCAGCACAAAAGTTAAATTTCATGACATTATATGGCAAAAAGGAGCATCAGGGTAGTCAAATATTCCCAGGCCACTTACAAGCAACTTTGTCCCACTCAGAAGTGGGATGAAAAGGGCAGAAAGAAGATGACATTAGGATTTTGTTGTAGGGCAAAAAATGTAAAGCATATAGGGATGGGTGGCTCAGGACTACACACCCTTGGGGGCAGCCTGATCTAAATGTTCAGGTATTTTCTAAAGTTCTGATTGTATACTACAGAAGTAAAAGAAGTAAAAGAATCATACAGAAGTAATTTGATCTTTAAAAATCTTCAGTTTACTCAAATTAAAATAAACATACATACTCACATACTGACTAGTGTACTGTAAGACTTAATAGTAAAAGGATGTTTATAAAACAGCTTGGGAATGCTGGAAATCAGAAATTCAGCTACAAGATAAAACTACTCTTGGGTATAGGGCATGAGGGAAGATGAGGGAACAGAATTCCGTATCTTCTGTATGGGTTGGATTTCATTCTGCATCTACTGATTTGTGAAGAAAGCATTCTAGAAGGCCTTCTGGTTTGATTTCTCTCTCTCAGTGCTGGTGGGAGGGTGAAGGGGGTACATGGAGGTGAAGGCTGACAGTGGGCGGGGCTGATGTAGAGAAGTTCAGAGGAAATTTAAAGTAGATATACTAGTTTTTGTTGTTTGTTTGGTTCTTGTTTTGGAGCGGGGCAGCATTATCCTGATTTGCTTTCTTTCCCCTACCTGAAATCCTGCATAAATACAAATATAGCAGAAAACATACTTACTATGAGATGATAATGCCCTAGATTTTTTTGTTGATCTATTTTATCTCCACAAGTTAAGAGGTAGCATAACGCATGTAGAATGAACATTTCTTCTCTTTAACAGAAAGAAGCCTGACAGAGCACTCTAGAGTCACTAATGATCAGCTCTCTTTTCTGGAAAGCTGAGATTTAAAAAGAAAGTCAAATGAAGCCTAATTTGGTGAGTCAGTAGATTTAGCTCCTATTCAAGTTAAATAATATAAATATTCTGACTAGAAAAAAAACTAAAATTTGATTAAATATGGGCAAAAGATTTGAATGGACACTTCAGAAAAGAATATATACAAATGGCTAATACACACATGAAAAGACACCATTGATCTTCAAGCCAATGATATCTTTTACTTAAAACCACAATGAGATACCACCATGCACTCACTTGAATGGCTGACATTAGAAAGAATGTCAAAGAACAGTATCAGTGTTGGTGAGTAGGTGGGACAGTGGGAATTCTCATACATTGCTGGTGGGGATACAAAATGATGTAACTACTTGGAGAACAGTTGGGCAGTTTCTGAGGGACTTAAACATATACCTACCATAATACCCAGTTATTCCGCTTCTAGGTATTTCCCCAAAAGAAAAGATATGTCCACACAAAGACTTACACATGAATGTTCATAGCAGTTACATTTGTAATAGCTTTAGAAGGAAAAAACCCATGTGTTGATCAGGAGGTGACTGGATAAATTAAATAGTGGTACGGCCATACAGTGGAATATCAGTAGTAGAAAGGATGAACTAGTCATATGCTTCTCAGCATGGACAAATCTAAAAATAATTATGCTGGGTGGAGGAAGTCTAACAAAAAAGTACATAATATATGATTCCATTTACATAAAACTCTAGAAATGCAAACTAATCTAGAGTAATGGTGTGTGCTTGGGGATAAGGCAGTTAAATGTGACAGGCAGCAGCTGATTTATAAAGGGTACTTTTTTGGTTATGGATACGTTTACTATCTTGATTGTGGTTGATCATTTCATGGGTAATACATTTGCCAAAACCCATCAAATTGTATTACTTAAATATGTAGTTTGTTGTTTGTCAATTATACTTCAATAAAGCTGTTTTGAAAAGTCACAAGATTAGAAAGATGTTGATAATTGTTTTAAACTGGGTGTTGGGTACACAAGGGTTCATTATATTATTTTCTCTACTTTTATATCTGAAAATTTTGATAATAAAAAGATTTCACTTCATACCTACAAGATGGCTATAATCAAAAGATAGATATTAAGTGTTGGCCAGGATGTGGAAAATTTGAAACTTCATCCACTGCTGGGGGGAATGTAAAATGGTGTGGCTACTTTGGAAAACAATTTGGCAGTTCCTCAAAATGTTAAACAGAGTAACCAGATGACCCAGCAATTCCACCCCCAGGTAAATACCCAAAGAACCAAAAACCTAGTCCACACAAAAACTTGTACACAAATGTACCCAGCAGCATTACTTGTAACAGCTAAAAAGTAGAAACAATTCAATGTCCTTTAATGATGAATAAGAGGTGGTATATCCAAACAGTGGAATATTATTCAGCAATAAAAAGGAATGAGATATTGATGAACCTTGATGACTTGCTTAGTGATAGAAGCCAGTTCCAAAAGACCACAGATGGTGCAGAGATCAATAAAGAGGTGACTGGAACCTTACCCTTATCAGGCTGAGAACTTGGTGGAGAAAGGTGATCATATTCACCCATTAATTGCTTCAGTTTTCTAGCATAAACTTTCCCCAAATTGTGAGACTCTGCAACAACTGGGGAGCTAAAAAACATGATGCAGAGATTACAAAATCAATTTTTTTCCAACACTGCACTGCTAGTCACCTGAAACTAAGCAATTTTGTTATGAAGATTAAATTTCAAAGTTTAGAATTACATCATCAACAGAGGTCAATCATCTGAATCTTCACACAGTCCATTTTCAACTTATTATCAATTTGCTTTCTGTAAATTTTAAAGTAAAGACAACTCCTTGAGCATGTATTTTACCCTGGAAAAATAATCTTTTATTTTCAAATAAATGATCCCAAACTTGCAACTTTATATTTGAAGGTGGCATTCATGACTTTTAATATGTTTATTCTGAATACAGTTTTAGTTGCTTTCAAATCAGAGTATCAGCTTCAGTAGAAATAATCCTATGGTTTAGATGCCCTTTATTTTCAACCTACCTCATAATTTGAAATCCTTTGTGACTCAAACTATATCATTACTTCGCATTGGCCTTTTACAAAAGATATCTGTAAAAAAGTTCAGTCTTGTTTATTGAATGTAGTATCTATGAATAAAATAAAAGGAGGTAAGATAGAAGATCATATTAAACATATAAGGTAACATTATCAGTCTTCAACTAGAATCATTTTACATGCCATCTCAAATCTTAATTTTCTGAGTGTTTCCAAGGATATATAATTTTTCTAATTAGAATGACATTTTAGCGTAAAACATTTAGTAAACCTCTAATATTTAATATGGTGATATATTTTTATTGAGTCCAAAAAATACCATTCTGAAGGTAAAGTTACTGGGGCACCAGTAGGAGTTGACACTTTATGAAAATGATCTGGGACACCAGTACTGAAAGGCAGGGATAATAAATCAAGTACTGATTTATATTTTTACATTTTATAACAGACAGTCTCAAGAAATACATTCTATCTTAAGACAGTCACTGATTCTTGCTATATAACTAATGTCATCAGCGCATCACATGGCAGAACCACCAACCACCTTTGCCTGTGGTCAACAACTGTCCCCCCCAGTCAGTACAGACATGATCACAGCGCGGTTCCCTAAGCAAGGCTCAGACAAGCCAAAGCTAGTGATATTCACATAGTAACTTCTAGAACTTTTGCTGTAATTGTTTCTCACACTAAATAATGCCAAAATTATTACATTTTCACTTGAGGTCTACACTAGTATCTAAAATTCCTAACAGTTGAAATTTATTTTACAGAAATTTACTAATTTATACAAATACTATGCCAATCATGTACTATCAAAACTACTTCCTATGCAGCCATTTAAATGAATGAGTTGGAACTACATGTGCTGTCATGGAGAAATGTCCATGATATATTGAGGGAAAGAAACAAGATGTAGAACTATTTTTGGCTATCTACCTACTTGCTTACACACCTATTGATCAATCTAAAATCTAATTTTAGCATTAAAAACTCAATGTACAGAGCCAAAAATTAAATATATGCATATGAATTTACTGTAAAAAAGGAGTTAAAAGAGCTGGATTGCAATCCATTCACTCCCTTTCCCAGGGAGGAGGAGGAAGGCGGGTGACCTCTGAACCTCTGAGTAAAGAGCCTAATGATATTTGCCAGGAGGAAGGGAACTTATCTCTAAAATGTCCTTAATAAGATATCACTGGCTAAGGATTACCTATAGTAAAGTAATTCCAGGAACCATAAGGCATGGCTCACTGAAGAATGTCACATAAGCTATACAACTCGCTGGGATATAAAATGGAGATGATTCATAATTTAAATATTCTGTTGCGTGAGGTAACCCTCACTTGGAAACTTCATCTATTATTCTGGACCAGAGATGCATGAACAATATGGGAAAACATGGTCTGAGGAGCCATCTTTCATGTAGTAGATATCTATCTGCTTCTTTATAACCTTCTGATTGCTTGTATAATTAGTAGACCTTGATAGTAGGTAATGTTACTGATTTGTGTGTTAGCTCACTATCCATATGAAAAAAATCTGAAAAGATACAAATGAAAGGTAGTGGAGTTTGGGAAATAGGGTTAGAAAAGGAGAGCTAACACTTTGCTTTCTGCACATGTTTGTATTCTATTTTTTTACAAAAAGGTGTATTACTTTATAATCAAAATTCCATAAAAATTTAGTTTATCTTCAAACTAAGGTTAATTTTCACTACCAGTGTATAGATTAAAAATATTTGCTTCAAAATGTGTTCAAGAATTGTAAGAAACATTTTAGAAAGAACTTGATGAATATTTAAAAACATTTATTATATATGGTATCTAAATTACTTTTGAGTTGTTTTAAAGTACATAATTACATTGGCTCTAAAGTCAGAAAGAAAGGTTAACTAAAAAGGCTTTCAGAACTTCCCTTGATTCAGAATTAATATAAACAACTTCATGATGATGGTATGACATTGATTTTTCTTTTAAAAATCTTTAACAGCAAATAAATATTGTCTTGGTGGCAAGCAAAACTTCATACAGATGGAAAGTTTACTGAAGATTAGTCATTTGAAGTTCAAGACAACCTAAAATAGAATAACAATTTCCCTCCTGGTTCAACTCTTAATGCCAGATTAACCATTTCTAAAAGTCAATGTTTTAATCTGACATTGAGGTAAGAAATTTGGTCACCTTTAACTCCTTCACCCATCAAGCTCTTACTTTATTTTTATCTTTATTAAATGGTATCATATACCCAAACTGAAAATCTCAGCCATTTTCTATCAAGTCATGACTCATGTCAACTGTAGTTTATAGTTTTTTTTTCAAAGCTATCCTTCATTTATCAATCCACATAACAATAGTTCCAGTATTCCATACCTTTGAGGTTTATTAAACTTATCACAATTAATTGAATTTTGTCTTCAAGATACTGTAGTGGGTACAGAAGAAATAGGAAAAGAAGTAATGAACAACTATTAACAAGTGTATGCTCAACAAAATAGGTTATTCTTCCAGCCTTTTACCTATGCAAGAATGTGGAATTTCTCCCATTTTGAAGACTAGGATGTCGGGATTCAAAGAGATTAGAATAACTTGCCACATGTGTTGAGTGTTAAGAGCTGCATCTTAAACCAGGGACTTAACTCTATTATATATATATATAGCTTTTCATACACTGGAAGTATAAATAAATAAACAGGATGATTCTTATTATCAGGAAATTTATAATTTTGTAAAAGTGATATTCAAACAACTTTAATACAGGAAAATAATGTTAAATACTGTAAGACGTGAGCAAGTGTAATGTCTTTTTGCTGAGGGGTTTAGGAAAGGCTCTGAAGAATGGATTTGGATTGATCCATTGATTTCTTGATTAAGAAGGGGTAAAATTTAGAGAAAAAAATGAGTGAAGAAACGGTGTTCTGGAGGAGAGAAGGGCATTGGTAGAGGCATATCTGCTTTAGATAAAACAACATATGCATTAATGTAGGGGAAGACAGTGCTGTAAAGGTGGAATGGGGTGATCATAATAGGCCTTATTTAGGTATTTGTGTTTAAATTCTATAGTCAATAGGGGAAGAAGAGACTTAAAATGGGGATATTGGTCAGGAGCGTGTTGCAAGATATTTGTGGGCTTAATCAGAAGAGTCATAGTGGGAACAGAAAATAAGGGGAGAATTGAAAGACATTCTGCAGATGGGATCAAAGGAATTTGATAGCTGGGGAGAGAGCAGGTAGAAGGAAGAGAGGGGAGATATAGCTAAATTCTGAGGCTTTGACCCTGGGTAAAGTTATCTTTGTCAGAATAATGAAGAGGAAGAAGAGAAGAATTGTTATTATTATTGCTCTTGTTATTCCCCAGAAGGAGGGAAGTGGGGAGTGGCCTAGAGAAGCCTCGTGTTCAAAAAGATGGTGAATTTGATTTTGGAATAAACTCAGATTCTATCAGTCATAGTATCTTTCTATCTGTCCTTCGTATTCCTCTGTGTTAAATTCCTCTATGTGAAACTGGGTTTAAATAACTTGCCGATGTTCTATGTACCTTGAAATTCCTTATACATTAGCATAGTTGGGCACTTAAACTAATTGTTTATGTACCAAACTTTGGTGAACATGGTGGGCAATAGGAACCATTAGACAAAAGAAAGGAAGCATGGTAGTAAAGTCTAGGTGTTGTAAAAATCTTCCCTTAGAAAATTTTGATGCTACCTTGATGTCATTTGCACAGTAAATACTAGTTACTCATTACACAGGCTGTAGCCACCTATAGTTTGAAGGATACCAATTGCAATTATTGTGGAGTATAGTGAAATCATCACTTCCCTTGACCTGGACACTACTTCTATTCTTCCCATTTTATTTAGCTTACCTTTTTCTTTTCAGTAGTCATATTACAGATTTTTTAGTGTTATATTACAGATTTCTACTGACAGTGTTTTTATTTTTGCTTTTTTTCTTTTATTTTACTAAAATCCAAGAGGTGGTATCTCTTCTATATTAGCTATCTTCTCTCATCTGGTACTTAATATAACTGATTTTTCTAAATGAAGGACTTTATACTTCATCTTGTTATGGGCTTAGGTCACCTTTCCACTCTATAAGGATCTTTAAAATCCAAATTATTTTAATTTTGACATTTGCTACAGTTCCCACACATAGTTTTAATATGCATTCAATCTATGTCTTCATCAATGTCACTGGTGAAAACTTTAAGTATTAACAAGAGCAAGATAATACCTATGGCATGGTATAGGGAATCCACCCTTTTCTAGTATCTAGGATGATCTATTTGTCAGCAATCTATGGTTCTCATCAGACAGATACTAAGAATTTGATACAATTCTTCACATTCTATAGACAGACAAGTGAATTCTTATTGCCAGCTCTGGTTATATATAGCCAAAAGGGAGCAATTACAGAAATGTATTCCAAGTTTCAGGAAATACCTTAAAAACTCATGAAATTCTTGAACTCTGATCTTAAAACATCCATTTTACATAGTCTTTAATCTTTAAATAAAGTGTGCCATTTAAACTTCAAGTACCTCTGGCACACTGCTGAATCCGTCAAAAACCTCAGGGAAATCAGAGTATCCTCAATGAAGAAATATGGTCCCAGAAAATTCTTCTGATCTACCAGTAGATCTTTCATAAAAGAAAATGAAGCATGGCTTCACTTGTGCTTTTCGTAAATCTACATTGCTTTTAATATTCATTTCAAAGTATTACATTCACAAGCAATCTGTTCTGTACCGCTTACCCAGATTGCCCTTACTATGTACCATGTACTATTTAAACATTCATAAATAGTAACTAATTTTATCCTCTTAAGAACCCTATGGGCTAAGTACTATTACTATCCATATTCTATAGAAGAGGAAACTGAGGCATAGAAAGGCTAAAGAGCATGTCTGTTAGTAAATGACTGAGGCAGTCTGGCTCCAGAATCTGTTATTAACTGTAATGCTTGGCTGCCTTTCTATCTGATGTAAAACTTCTCACTCAGTATTTTGGACCCCACTTCTCCCCTTTTTAAAAACTGAAACATTTTCTGATTTCCAGGCTTTACACATTTTTACATTAAAGAATGAAAAGCAAGTC